ACGTCTTGAAGCCGTCATCAGGAGGATCCACGAGTCTGGCCTCAAGCTGAACAGGAAAAAGTGTGAGTTCCGGAGGAACGAGGTCAAGTTTTTGGGGATGAAGATCAGCAAGAACGGCATCAGCATGGACGAAGAGAAGCTCGAAGCGATCCAGCAGCTCCAACCGCCAAAGAATGTCAATGAACTAAGGTTTCTGCTCGGAGTAATCAACTTCCTGGGCCGGTGCATTCCACACATCCAGGAGTGCTTGAGACCACTGAACGAGCTTCTGAGGAATAACGTAGCATGGATCTGGACACCACAGCAGCAGCAGGCGCTGGATGACGTGAAAGCAGCCGTCACTTCAGCTCCAGTTCTGGTGTTCTACGATCCAGCACGAGAGACGGTGGTCAGCGCCGACGCCAGCCGATTCGGCATCGGAGGATGTGTTCTCCGGAACCACGGCTCCGTCTTCAAACCCGTCGCGTTCTGCAGCAGAAGCCTGACTGACACCGAGGCCAGATGGGCGCAGATCGAGAAGGAACTACTCTCCGCAACGTGGACGTGCGAGAAAATGCACATGTTCCTGTCCCGACTGCCGTCGTTCGAGCTGCATCTGGACCACAAGCCTCTGATCCCGCTGGTTAACACGAAAAATCTCGTGGATGCGCCGATCACATGCCAGCGCATGCCCATGCGCTTGGTGCGATACAACGCCACAGCAGTCTTCGTTCCAGGGAAGCAGCACCTGGTGCCCGACTTCTTCTCACGTCACCCGCTCCAGAAGCAGGATGAAATCAGCGCTGTGCTTCAAGAAGACATACATGGATTCTGCGAGAGAATCTTCAGCGATCTTTCCGCCACACCGCAGCGTCTGGTGGAGATCAGCAAGGCGCAGCAAGCAGACGAACCCCTACAGCGCGTAGTTCAGCAGACTCTCTCTGGCTGGAAGGAGGGAGCGAAGCATTCCGACCTGCTGGACTACTTCGCCTCTCGGGAAGAGATGAGCGTTCTGTGCCTAACGTGTGGTACACTGCTGATGCACGGGCGACGCATCGTCATCTCTCCGAGTCTGCGAGATGAAGTACTCACTCGACTACATGATGACGGACACTTCGGTCTAAACAAGTGTCACCAGAGGGCAGCAGTGTCGATCTGGTGGCCTCAACTCAGCATCGACCTGAAGCGTCATCTCGAGAGCTGCTCGTTCTGTCAGGTGAACGTGCCCGCCCAGCACGCTGAGCCACTGGTGACAACCCCAACGCCATCAAGACAGTGGACGCACGTTGCAGCAGACGTCTTCCACTTCAGCAACTTGCAACTGGCTCGTCACGGTGGAGATCTTCAGCAGGTATTTGGAGATACAACGCCTCCTGAGTCTCACCAGCAGCGCAGTCATCGAGCGTCTGAAGCGCCTGTTTTCCCGCTTGGGGATACCAGACCTCGTGACAACAGACGGAGGAACGCAGTTCACTTCAAGCTCGTTCGCCAACTTTACAGCGTCCTACGGCTTCACAAGCCGTATCACAGACCCGCACACGCCGTCTTCCAACGGAGCAGATGAACGAGCCGTGAGAACCGCCAAGTGGATACTTCGCCAGAGGGACCTCCACCTCGCCCTCCTCAACTACCGCACGACACCTGTGGAGGCAACCAGATACTCCCCAGGCCGTCTCCTGATGGGACGCGAACTTCAATCTCTTCTCCCCATCGCTCAGCCAACCGGAGAAGCGACATGGCAGCATGCCAAACTCCGAGATCGGCATAGGAAGAAAAAGCTGGAGACGTGCTTCAACCGGAGACGCGGTGCCCGCGACCTTCAGCAGCTACAGCCCGGGGATCATGTTCGGGTCAAGACGGAGAAGGAGACAAGCTGGTCCGAGCTCGCCACCGTCATAGGGAAGCTCTCTAGACGTAGCTACCTTGTGGAGCCCAAGGGTGTTCGATATCGTCGCAACCGACGTCATCTGATGCAGAACCCTCCGTTTCAGGTCTTGACACGACACGGTTCCACGCGGCATGCTGACCGTTCTGCACACAGCATGCCGGCTCCAGAACTCTTCTCCGGCCGCCATGCTGAGGTGGCGCCACCGGCTTTGTTGCAACCGCAACCGCGCGGACCGGCGCCTGCACCACGATCGGTGGAGCCACGGCCACCACCAGCTGTGCCGTCGCCCGCGTCGACAGCGGAGCCGCCGTCATCGCTGCCGCCGCTGACAGAAGCTGCGGCCCAGCCCTGCAACGCGCAAGTGCCCCAGACACAAGACCCAACGCCACTGCTTAGTCTCAGTCCGCGTAAAATACGCAGTGGCCGCGTTTTCTGAGAGGCATCAAAGAGTAGCAGCAGAGAAGCAGCAGGAAAGCAGATGGGAAGCAGCAGGAAAGCAGCAGAGAAGAAGCAGTCTGAGAAGCAGAACGGAAGCAGCAGCCTGAGAAGCAGCAGAGCAGCAGCAGGGAAGCAGCAGGGAAGCAGCAGAGAAGCAGCAGGGAAGCAGAAGGGAAGCAACAGTCTGTCGCCAGTAATTTCGTTTCGCAAGCGTATTAACATTTATTTGCATTTGCTCAAGGGGAAGATGTATCATGATGTTACTGGCGTGCGCCTGAGGCCACCCCTGCTCGCGCCGCCAGTGCTGCTACACCTTGGTACGCCGCTGCCCCGACTGGCGGTGTGCTGCCGCCCACCGGGGTCGACGCCGCCCGCTCGCCTCGCGGGTTAATACAGTTGCCTTCTCGCAGCGCTCGTGTCTGGTCTGGGCAGACAGAACACATAAGACTTGAATAGTGCATCGATGCGATAAGGTCGAGGACGGTGGAATCGATGTTTAGTTCCAGAACGGAGAGGAGGCGAAACGGGCCAGGACCTCGGATAGATTTGTGTACTGTGTGCGGGATGCGGAGGGGAAAAAGGACATGTGTGGCGATGGCTGTGGAGGTCCATAGGACAAAGAACTCGTCAAAGGGTATCATCAACTGTTTTGACCTGAGAGATGTCAGTGATGAGGAAATAGTTCCCGGTCTCGCTGAGTTCGGGGTGACAGATGCCCGCCGCATCAAGGTGCGCAGGGGTGCGGAGCTGGTCTCCACGAACAACATCGCGCTGACTTTTAACCGTCCTGACATACCATCTGAAGTAAGTAGGCTATGTAAAGGTGAAGGTGCGTCTTTTTATGCCGAACCCCATGAGATGTTTTAAGTGCCAAATGTTTGGACATACGAAGGACTGCTGCCGCAACCAGCCAGCATGTGGCAAGTGTGCTCCTCCGGAGCACCCGAGTGATCAATGCACTGCAGCGAACCGATGGTGTGTGAACTGTAGGAAAAAACAGAAACCTCACTTAACTTTCGATCGTGCATGCCCGGCGTACGCCAGAGACAAGGAGATCATCCCACTGAAAGCCACGAAGAGCGTCTCATTTCGGGAAGCAAGGGATTTGCATGAACTGAGCCATCCTAAGATATCATATGCCACAACGACTAAGGCTCCTGTCGCTTCGAGGCGTCACGCTAGGCGAGGAATGCCGGTGGCAAAACTGCGACCACACGAGAAGGCCGCAGTTACCCAACGCATACGGACATTGCAGGGAAGTGGCAAACCCATAGCCGGCCGGCGACCCAGGGAACGGGCGGGGGCTACACGCCGGAGTGCTGCACTGTCCGGGGTCACGGGAAGAATCTCGTGTTGATTCCATATGATTACACTAATGCACAGATCAAACAATAATCAGTACAGCACGAGCACACGTGCCGCTAGCAGAAAAAGAAGGGGGGGGGGATGTCCTCATCATTGTCACGTAAATACACCAACACACAGATTAGATGAGAATAAGTAGAACATAATTCAGGCAATGGGGCAGCATCCCGTTGTGATTGCCATTCGATTGCACCAATACACGGAAAAATAAGGATCAATTGCACCCACACAGTGGGCATACAACCCTAAGGGGGGAGGGGGGGGGACATCTCGTGATGCGGTGATTACACTTATACACAGATCACATAAAACACTACGACAAGGGTAGGCGCGGCAGTACTACACTTTGATCATAGCCAAAATGCCGAAAAGCGAAGCAGATGCAACTGCAACAGGTGCATTTCTGTCGCCCCGGCCGCTGTCGCTCTGGAAGGCCGACGTGCACGCGCCTGGCGCCGTGCGCCGGGTCGGCGAGAGATTAGCGACCGACGACGAGCAGTGCTCACCCCGCCGCGCATGGGCACCAGCTCACATGACACTTTGCAGAAATCTTGTTGCACCTTGAGTCGTCCGCGAAATATCCGTTGGTCGAGACGCGCAGCGGTTGCGTCGGCACACTCGCGCGTGACCGGAGGTCACCGACGGTTTGCGCCTATGGAGCGGTCGCCGGCGCCGACGACGCCAGTGCGATGTTCCTCACGTCACCCGACTGGCGATCACGGATGACGTGACCAGACATCGGTCACGTGACAGCACACCGTCACTATCAATAGGTGCCCAGTGTTGGCAAGGGGCAGAACACGTGCTCGCACCGCGTCTGTGGTCGTGCAACTGACGCCGGGACGCGCGTCGCTACGGTCAAAAATCCCCAAGCCGCTGCTAATGCCAACATAGCCGCTAGATGGCTGTTGTACCGGGCGCCGAGAGCCAGGCTGGTCGTCCTGCGTCTGCGGTGGTGACGCGTTCCCGGCAGCTGGGGAGTTGTGTTGCCGACTTGTTGCATATTGAGTGCGGCGTCGCCCCGCGTCACGTGGTAGAGCGCGGCCGCGCATCGCAAGCGAAGACGCCCATGCAGCTGAGAAATGACGCCAGGCTGGCAATGCCGCACGGCCTCCGACTGCGGTGCCCGTACATGGAACACAGCCGACCATTGGACGGCCCGCAGGCGATGTGTGAATGCCACGCTGCCGGCAGAGACATCTGGCCGCAAGGCGTGCAACACTGATATGCACAGCCGGCGGCCATGGTCATTGTCAGGAGTTTGGCCTGTTTGGCGTTTGCTTGTACAACCATGTGATGCGTTGGTGTTGCATGTTGCCGGCATGACGGCACGCGCTGTTGGTGACATGGCATTGACCGGCAAACCAGGCCAACGCGAGGAGGCGAGAGGAAGCTCCAGTAACCCCGCCAATGTTCAAAAATGAGTTTAATAGTCTGGTCCCCATGTAGAGGACGTATCAGATATGATGCTGATCAGAACAGATTTGTGTTCATAAAAGGCCACGTTTCATTATAGGAAACGGTAACAAGACAAACGGATGCGCTAAGGCTCTGCAGCGCAGTTACGCGCGACAGTGTTTTACAAAAAAGCCATACTCCCATAATCCCACGGCACGGTGGAGCGTGCCGCCAATGGGGTGAAGCGCTGGCTCACCACGCTCCCCGTGGTGGGCATGGCCGGGGGGCAGGCCGTCGTCGGGAGCTGCATTCGCCCCGTCAATGATTCATGGATTGCATGCCTTAGGTCGTCGGCGACCTCACCGCAGCCAGGCGGCACGTCCGAGGCGACGACACAAGACTGCGTTGCTTCGAGGCGTGCCGCAAGACGAGAAACGACGGTGGCAAAACTGCGACCACACGAGAAGGCCTCAGCTGCCCAACGCATCCGGACATTGCAGGGATGTGGCAAACCCACAGCCGGCCGGCCAGCCCAGGGAACGGGCGGGGGCTACACACCGGAGTGCTACACTGTCCGGGGTCACGGGAAGAATCTCGTGTTGATTTCATATGATTACACTAATGCACAAATCAAATATTAATCAGTACAGGACGTGCACACGCGCCGCTAGCAGAAAAAGAAGGGGGGGGGGGATGTCCTCATCATTGTCACGTAAATACACCAACACACAGATTAGATGAGAATAAGTAGAACATAATTCAGGCAATGGGGCAGCATCCCGTTGTGATTGCCATTCGATTGCACCAATACACGGAAAAATAAGGATCAATTGCACCCACACAGTGGGGGAGGGGGGGACATCTCGTGATGCGGTGATTACACTTATACACAGATCACATAAAACACTACGACAAGGGTAGGCGCGGCAGTACTATACTTTGAACTTAGCCAACATGCCGAGAAGCGATGCAGATGCAACTGCAACAGGTGCGCTTGCTACGTGCCGGCCGCTGTCGCTCTGGAAGGCCGACGTGCACGCACCTGCCCCGTGCGCCGGGTCGGCAAGCGATTAGCGACCGACGACGAGCAGTGCTCACCCCGCCGGCCATGGGCACCAGCTCACATGACACTTTGCAGAGCATCTTGTTGTACCTTGAGTCGTCCGCGAAATATCCGTTGGTCGAGACGCGGAGCGGTTGCGTGGACACACTCGCGGGTGACCGGAGGTCGCCGACGGTTTGCGCCCGTGGAGCGGCCGCCGGCGCCGACGACGCAAGTGCGTTGTTCGTCACGTCACCTGACTGGCGATCACGGATGACGTGACCAGACATCGGTCACGTGACAGCACACCGTCACTATCAATAGGTGCCCATTGTCCCGAGATGCAGAACACGTGCTCGCACCGCGCCTGTGGACGTGCAGCTGACGCCGGGACGCGCGTCCCTACGGTCAACACTCTCCAAGCCGCTGCTACTAGAGATTGCCACCATGGGCGCTAGATGGCTGTCGCACCGGGCGCCGAGAGCCAGGTTGGTCGTCCTGCGTCTGCGGTGGTGGCGCGTTCCCGGCAGCTGGGGAGTTGAGTTGCCGACTTGTTGCATGTTGAGTGCGGCGTCGCCCCGCGTCACGTGGTAGAGCGCGGCCGCGAATCGCAAGCGAAGACGCCCATGCAGCTGAGGAATGGCGCCAGGCCGGCAAGGCCGCACGGCCTCCGGCTGCGGTGCCCGTGCGCTGGAGCAGGCAACACAGCCGACCATTCGACCGCCCGCAGGAGATGTGTGAATGCCACGCTGCCGGCTGAGACATCTGGCCGCAGGGCGTGCAACACTGATAAGCACAGCCGGCGGCCATGGTCATTGCCAGGCGTTTGGTCTGTATGGCGTTAGCTTGTACAACCATGTGGTGCGTTGGCGTTGCATGTTGCCGGCCCGACGGCACGCGCTGTTGGTGACATGGCATCGGCCGGCCAACCAGGCCAATCCGCAGAAGGGCGAAAGGAAGCTCCAGTAACCTCGCCAATGCTAAAAAATGAGTTCAATATTCTGGTCCCCATGTAGGGGACGTATCAGATATGATGCTGATGAGAACGGATTTGTATTCATAAAAGGTTATGTTTCATTATAGGAAATGGGAAAAAGACAAGCGGATGCGCTCAGACTCTGCAGCGCATTTACACGCGACAGTATTTTGCAAAAAAAAAAATACTTCCATAATCCCACGGCACGGTGTAGCGTGCCGCCAATGGGGTGAAGCGCTGGCTCACCCCGCTCCCCATGGTGGGCATGGGCGGGGGCAAGGCCGCCGTCGAGAGCTGCATTCGCCCCGTCAATGCTCCATGGATTGCAGGCCTTTGGCCGTCTCTGACCTCACCGTAGCAAGAGGGCACGTCCGCGGCGACGACACAAGACTGTGTCGCCTCGAGGCGTGACGCCAAGCGAGGAACGCCGGTGGCAAAACTGCGACCACACGAGAAGGCCGCAGTTGCCCAACGCCTACGGACATTGCAGGGAATGGGCAAACCCATAGCCGGCCGGCCAACCCAGGGAACGGGCGGGGGCTGCACGCCGGAGTACTACACAGTCCGGGGTCACGGGAAGCATCTCGTGTTGATTCCATATGATTACACTAATGCACAGATCAAATAATAATCAGTACAGCACGTGCACACGCGCTGAGAGCAAAAAAAGGAGGGTGGGGGGGGGGGAATGTCTTGATCATTGTCACGTAAATACGGTACTACAGGGGCGGCAGTACTATACTTTGATCTGAGCCAAAATGCCGAGAAGCGATGCAGATCAACTGCAACAGGTGCATTTGTGTCGTGCCGGCCGCTGTCGCTCTGGAAGGCCGACGTGCACGCGCCTGACCCGTGCGCCGGGTCGGCGAGCGATTTGCGACCGACGGCGAGCAGTGCTCACCCCGCCGCGCATGGGCACCAGCTCAGATGACACTTTGCAGAGCATCTTGTTGCGACTTGAGTCGTCCGCGCAATATCCGTTGGTCGAGACGCGGAGCGGTTGCGTCGGCACACTCGCGCGTGACCGGAGGTCGCCGACAGTTTACGCCCATGGAGCGGTCTCCGGCGCCGACGACGCCAGTGAGTTGTTCGTCACGACACCCCACTGGCAATCACGGATGACGTGACCGGACATCGGTCACGTGACAGCACACCGTCACTATCAATAGGTGCCAGTATTGGCGAGAGGCAGAACACGTGCTCGCACCGCGTATGTGGGCGTGCAACTTACGCCGGGTCGCGCATCGGTACGGTCGAAAATCGCCCAGCCGCTGCTAGTGCCAGCATGGCCGCTAGATCGCGTTCGCACCGGACGCCGAGAGCCAGGTTGGTCGTCCTGCGTCTGCGGTAGTGGCGCGTTCCCGGCAGCTGCCGAGTTGTGTTGCGGACTTGTTGCATGTGAGTGCGAGTCGCCCCGCGTCACGTGGTAGAGCGCGGCCGCGCATCGCAAGCGAAGACGCCCATGCAGCTGAGGAATGACGTCAGGCCGGCAAGGCCGCACGGCCTCCGGCTGTGGTGCCCGTGCAGGGAACACAGCCGACAATTGGACGACCCGAAGGCGATATGTGAATGCCACGCTCCCGGCAGCGACATCTGGCCGGAGGGCGTGCAACACTGATATGCACAGCCGGCGTCCATGGTCATTGTCAGGCGTTTGGTCTGTATGGCGTTGGCTTGTAGAACCATGAGATGTGTTGGCGTTTCATGTTGCCAGCCTGACGGGGTCCGTATCATATTGTCCAAGGTACAGAATGTCCAAATGTACAAAATGTCCAATGTACACATTGTCCAAGGTACAGAATGTCCAGAGTTCATGATGTCCAAGGTACAGAATGTCCAAAATGAGAAATAACTTCCAAAATGGCTCGGTGTGGAGGTGTTCATATTGTCGAAGGTACATATTGTCCAAGGTACACAACGTCCAAAGTACACAATGTCCAATGTACGGAATGTCCAAAGTACTTAATGTCCCAAGTACACAATGTCCAAAGTAGGTATTATCCAAGGTACGAAACGTCCAAAGCACACGATGTCCAAGGTACACAATGTCCAAAGTACACAACGTCTTAAGTACAAAACATCCAAAGTACGTAATGTCCAAGGTCCACAATGTCCAAGGTACACAATGTTTAAGGTACACAATGCCAAAGTACGAAATACCCAATTTAGTTTCCAGGAAGACCGTCAGGATGCGAGCCCTCGCTCTTATTGACAGGCAAGAGCACCTGGGCTACGTCGGTTGCGCATATATAGTCAACGTTATTACCGCGACTCTGCGTGTAATCAGCCGTCTGCCGCCGGCCGGTGACGTGCGCGGTAGGTAGGATGACGTAAGAAGGTATTTATCCAATGAGTGGTTGGCTCATGACGGGCGGCACACCGTGAGCTGCTGCAAACGGGCGGCGCCGCATCGCTACCGACGCCTGCAGGACCGCTGATCGACACAACGCCGTAGCCCTGGCGTCAAGAGCAGAACCGCCCTTAGTGAGCGCCTGGGTGGTGCCCAAACCCGTCGTATCCATCGCCGTCCATCGTGCATCGTGTTCTCCTCCGCCCCTCCCTCCACAACAACTGCTCGGCTTTTGCTGCCTGGTTATGATCAGCGCCATCTACCGAAGGGCATGAAACTGCAAGTGCACAGAAGGCCCGGCATGCAGTCCGTCTGCTCATTTCCAGCGTAACAGGTACCGTTCACTTCCTTTTCGACTCTGCGTGACGACCAATATGTGGGGAGGCCTGCGGCGTGCCGGCCCGCGCTTTCTGTTTTATCGTTGCGCCTTTGTGAAGGCAGTGGTGGATCGGTGGCCGGAAAGGGCATAGCGTCGATCCACGTACGCGCTGTGTAGGTATCCACCTTCATCCAATTGTGTCGTATCTACGTGCAGGGTCAAAACGTCAATATATGTGCGGTAAGGATATCTGGTTAAACGAAGAAAGACTCAAGGTCCTATAGTGACACGAGGCCGGATATTCAGTTAGCAACGTATTTGTTTCCCCTGTCGGGACCTCTTGACTGAGCTGAACCACGGCATGTTCTTACTGCTGGCCATAGCTCCATGCACGTCCTTTCCCTGGCGTCGCTCGGTCATGAACTACCCCGATCCCTTC